TTACAAGAAGCGTATAATCGAGGCCAACGATTTTGTTTCCAACTACGAAACACTTCTATCATTCTGCCGCGTGTTTCTCAACAGTCTTGTACGAATCATACCAATGGAATTTCATATATTCCAAGTCTCTCTCTCCCTCTGTCTCACCTTTTATCTGGAGCTACGTCTCGTCGGAATGATTTCCTCTCTACTCTTGTCCGGACTTTTAGAAAATAACAGCGCACCAGTCTTGTACGAATCATACCAATGGAATTTCATATATTCCAAGTCTCTCTCTCCCTCTGTCTCGCCTTTTATCTGGAGCTACGTCTCGTCGGAATGATTTCCTCTCTACTCTTGTCCGGACTTTTAGAAAATAACAGCGCATGGCAAGGTAACTGAACGATACAGGGAATGCTAAAGCTCTCGGGGACAACGAATTATCCTAAGTTTACGATACGGCCGACACATCTGCTATTTTTCTGGATTAGAATATTCAGTTTCGTAGCGTGTCATTAATTTTACAATCAGGGGAAAACCGCCAGACGCTTAATAGGTTTTCAAGTGCCTGGCCTTTTCTGCTCAATAGCAAATTCACGCATCGTAATCTTACTCTTCGGACCAAGGACTGACTAAAGCGTGGACAACAATAGGACGACCTGAACACACCAATTTTTACCTTATCCTTGACCTACAGATGTACCGCTACTTGCAACTGACGTACCGACCCCACTACAGGGCGTGAACGACAGGACCACGATTCCCTCGAACCTCCTCCATTGGACAGAACACCTTTCCCACCGTTTTCCCAATTTTCATTAAGACACACCTCTGGACAGGCGACAATGTATAAAAGGACTGGACAGTTAAAAAAATAAAGGACTCTTGTACGAACTATTACACGGAGCTTTTGCACCTTCGGACAATGGACTTGCACATAACGAACCCTTAAGAATTTGTTTATACATATTATTGTTATCTAAAAATCTGTTTGCAAATAAAGAAGTTATTTGCTCAATACTCGGCTTCGCGAAACGTGAGGGAGCGAACAAAAGTAGCGATCAAAATCTTTGGCCTTCGCTATAACAACAGCATTCTCGATAGCGCGAGGTACCAGCAGCAGCTGAATGCTCAACCGTATGATTTTGCTACGCGATGTGCATCATGCATGCCCTAGTAACACATACTCGTTCTACAGAGACGGAAAACTGAAATCGCGAAATAACAGATGAAAATAACAGTCTAAGGAATCGACTAGAAAAAAAAGAAAAGAAAACATTTCAATTACACCAAAAACGATCCATCGATCGTTCTACGATAAACAAAAAAGCATCTTCTCTAATTTAATCTTGCTCCAGTCTCTCAATCTTTTCCTTCAATTTCCACTAATTCTCTCCTTTTCATTTCACCCAAAAAATTTTCAAAACCAATTTTTCTTCAAAGCTACAAAATTTAAAAACGAAAAGTGCAAACTGTTAAGAGAAAAGAATGACCGCAGCAAGATTGAAATTGAAACAGCGTTCAACTGAAAAGAGTACACGCACGCATAGCTCGTAAACAAAGAGACACAAAGAAACGAAAAATGAAATGAAAGAGAAAAAAAAAAAAAGAAACAACCAATTACTCCATCCGCGAACAACGAACGAGCACGCTTGGTATAGTACACCACTGACTCACCACATGAGATCTATGATGCTGATGATGCATAGTATTATGATGATGATGTCTCTTCTCCTTAGCATGATGCTTAGCATGATGCTTGCTGCCCCTGTGCGGTGGATAAGTGTGATAAAAGATTAGGTCGAAGCAAGGCTGGCGTCACCTGACCTCAGCCATCTCGCACCTCGACACTTCTATCTGCGGGTTGTTCGGGTCGTTGTTCTGACGTCTGGGTACAGTCAGCTGTACGGAACAGTGCTTCCTACTTGTCTGCAACGTCGTCGACACGATGGTGTTCGACTTCGCGTCGTTTTGCACCGCGCTCTCCACCGTCAGATCGTTCACGTCCAGATCGGCGGTGAACGTGATACGATGATGATGATGATGGCGATGATGAGGTGGCGGCGGTGGTGGCAGCATTTTCACGTTCGAACCGATCGGTGTAACCGTGGTGGCCGGATCTAGCTTGACCAGGGCCGCTTGCAATTCCAGGGCATCCATGTCGCGTGCTCGCGACGAAAAAATCCAGCCTCGCGATCGGAGAGAAAGAGAGTAAAGTGGCGAATCCGATCTCTAACGGATAGCCTAAGAAGACGATCCGCCGTGAAATCGAACTGACAGCCGTTCAGTTCGCTGATTTATCGTCTATATATCGAATGACGTTCAGTGAAAACGGTAGTTCTTCCATTTGTGGCAATTCAAGCTCTTCTTCCCTCTTGTTTCACCGTCCTCTATCCTCGTCTTTCTCTCTGTCTCTGAATCTTCTTCTTCACGTGGATATTTTAGGAAGCAGAACGGGATCGTAGAACAGTAGCTTGACCCTTGAATTCTCTTCCGTCGTGCATCGAATCATCACACAAAAATGTGATATCTATTTTTAATACCTGTGAAAACGGGCGCTTTCGACGTCACACCACTGATTCTCTCCCCTTGATTCCTCCTAACGCGAGAAGAGAAGATTTCTTTTTTCTTCACTGAATTTCACAAGATCTTGACAACCACTTTGACTCGGTCTACGAACTTTCGACACTCGATTACACTCTGGAAGAAAAGAAACGGGCGCTGAAGTGAAGCCTAATGAAACGAGCCAAGTTTAACGTGTGTGCGCCTAATGCTTGGTTCATTCATACTTCGCGTGATCGACGATCTACGACGGATGTTTTCCCCCCGCGTTCTTCTGTCGCAGGCTGCACGCGACACTTCTCGACCATTTGTTACCCCCGGCTTTGTTGTCGTCGCGAGATTACGATGCTGGAGGACGCGAGATCGCGTCAGGTAGCTTCGTTACGCGTCGTCGGACGATCTCCACGGGATTCAGAGGCTGGTTTTTCGTCCTGTCTCATCGTATCCAAACCCGGCATTGAGACTTGGGTTGCGGACATCGAACACGGACAAGTTTATTCTCGCTACGAAGGTAAGGTGTTGTTGGCATGAAACGGAAGGGCAGCGTTCTCTCTGAACGAGAGACCTTCGTTTCCAAGAATAATGAAACGCCGCTACCTCCCCTTCGACCCCAACTGTAATCATCCTAACGAGGCGATGGTCTTTTTTTTTTTTTTCTTTTCTAAAGGGTGGCTGCTCGGTGACCTCTATTTTACCGATGAAAAGATGGAACGAATTCGATGTGTCGAGAATGACGAAAAAGCTACGATTCGAAGAAGCTTCGACAAGATGGCGATGGTTATCGGATGTGGATTCAAGCGAGACTAAGTAGGGGAGACTGGGGCTAAAAGTTACAATTTTAAAATGACCGAGAAATAACGCAGTTATTTTCTTCACTATGAACTGATCTATTATTAAATTTGTCGTACTTTAAGATTCCGAGCTTACATTTAACATATTGCAATCAGTTTTTCGTAGGGAGCCGTTTATTTGCAACTCGGCGAAGCGTAACTTCTAACGTCGTCGTGGGGCAAGTTGTTACAGCCTTCGGATAAGTTGTTACAAAGGAAAAAGAGTTGCTTCTCAGTGAAATATTTCAATGTTTCTCATGAAACAAAATACAATTCTATAAATAATGTTTATCGAGGTTCAAATCAACCGAAATATATTATTGTTAAAAGAAAACTAAACCAGTAGGTATACAAATCATGAGCATTATCTTTCGCCAGAGCCTTACATTCAACTGTTTCTACTTATTTATCCAGATCTATACTTATCAACAGCCTTAAACCTAATATGATTAATTAACTTTGTAACAATATTGGAAATCATCACACGACTCGGCCATTTGGCAAACTATCGAACGATGAACAATGAAATCGCGCCGATAAAACGTGAGAAGTTGTCGACGTTTCAGAGATTAACCTTTTAGCTACGGCTGGACTTTCCGCAACACTGTATCTCTGTACGGCGAGCTTCGACGCGGACGAGTAAAATACTGTTCGTTCTGAAGATTTCTCTGATACGCGTACTCTTCAACGATAGCTTCGATGTTGTTAGGAAATGTGGTTCAGGCGAAACAAATGAGGGGGGCAGTCAGGTGATATTTTAAAGATATCTACAGACAGGGTGAGCCATTTCAGTGGCATACCGTTCAAACACATGATATCCATGAAAGTCACTATAGCGGCGTATCGTTCGAAAAGATGACTTACGCGAAAGCCATTATAGCGGCGTTCAGTAGCTAAGAGGTTAACACGTTCCGTGCCGGACCGATTTTCGGTGACTTTCCACGTCTTTCGGTGACGTGGGGTGTGCGCCCCACGTTGTCGAGACTAACAGTTTTGCTTTTCACCCTATACGTCTTCCAATATTTATAAGATTGCAAAAATCATCGTTATCGAGAAAAAGGTAACGTTTAAGATACGCTATAGAGCAAAGGAAAAATTTTTCTTTTAACAAATTATCGCCGTAGTTGCATAACTTAACCCTTTGCACTCGAGTGGCGACTAGGAAGCGGCATTATATTTACCATTAGAGGGAACTCTAAGGATATTTTCCAAGACAGTAGGTCTATGGACCTCCGTGAATTGTTCGCTACATGTTTAGAGATCTCAGCAGTGAAATAGTTTGAAAGGACCAACTTCTAATAAAAATATTAGTTTTAAAAAATTACATTAATTTTTGCCACTTCCTTATAGGAAAAAGGGCCTTCGCGCGCAAAGGGTTAAGTCAGCGAAAGGAAAAGGCCGAAATATCAAATGGCCTGAACGGAAAGTCCAGAGCGGCATGGAACGTGTTAACCTGCCCCAAACCAGCGGAACAAAAAGCCCCAATCGACACCCGTGGCAATTTATGCGAATATTCTGCTTATGTATTGAAATATCTAGTAAAAACTATTGCAACGTGTTCTGAAATGTCAGCTGATCCATAAGGACGAAACAATCGAAATAGACGAAAAACTAACGAACGACAAATATGTATGTAGTATCGGGGCCACCATATCCAAAAAATAGGAGATCGGCATGGGAGAATAGAGAGGGAGTGATTGGCGTAGCGGGCAAAGCCTCGGGTTTGATAAGCCGAAGGCCCCGGGTTCGATTCCCGTTTGGGTCCCTCAATATTTTTCCGTCGTCGGTTCCTACATAGGGGGGGCTCGTCCGGGATGGAGGCATCTACGGCTGCACAAAGCCAGGCGCTGTGAGGTGAAAACATGTGAGAGGGGTTTGCACGTCTCTCAAAAAGAGTTGAGAAACAGTGTTTCGGTTGAGAGTGCCACTGCCTGGGGGGAGTGTATCCGAAAGCGTTGAGTTGAGTTGTGTTGCACTGAGGACATTCGAGGGCGAATGTCAGTTCAGGATGGCCGAGTGTAGTATCGGCGCCTCCATATTCAAATAGGAAACCGACATGGGAGAACACAGAGGGGGTAGTTGGCGTAGCGCGCAAAGCCTCGGCTTGCTAAGCCGAAGGTCCCGGGTTCGATTCCCGTTGGGTCCCTCAATATTTTTCCCTAGGTTCCTACATATGGGGGCTTGTCCGCGATGGAGGCATCTACGGCTACACGAAGCACAGGAGGTGTGCGATGAAAACATGTTGAGGGTTGCACGTCTCCCAAAAATGCGTTGTTTTCGGCTGTGTGCCACTGTGTGGAGGAGTGTGCCCGAAAGTGTTGCACTGAGGACATTCGAGGGCGAATGTCAATTCAGGATGGCCGAGTGTAGTATCGGGGCCTCTCCATACCCAGAAAATAGGAGACCGGCACGGGAGAATAGAGAGGGAGTGATTGGCGTAGCGGGCAAAGCCTCGGGTTTGATAAGCCGAAGGCCCCGGGTTCGATTCCCGTTAGGGGTCCCTGAATACTTTTCCGTCGTCGGTTCCTACATGTATTATAGTTTTCTATACGTGACTAGGTGGTTGCTTATAACCACAAGATTCGCTGTCGCAGATGCTATTAAAATGGACGACAGAGTGGCGTGTGATCTACTTGCATGGCGAAAACAATTGAAAGGACAATCCTATCTCTTTTCGTTTTAAAGTTATAACCATTGTAACAACTTACCTCCGTAACTTTTAGCCCCAGTCTCCCCTATGCGATACAAGAGTAGAAAAATAGGGAATGTAAAATTTGTTCGATTAGACAAGCAAGTGTACTTACTTTACGTTGGTGTGGGTTGTACAAGCTCAAGATCGATTAAAAAGATGTTTGTTAATTTAAACGTAAGCGTAAGTTAATTTCAAGCAAAATTTGAAAAAAGCTCGTTCTCGTTTGGTTTTCCCAAGTAATTCTACTAAAAGTGCTACGTAGGTAATAAAATAGATCGAAAATATATACGTGAGTTTAAATTTGACGATGCAATTGCAAAAGTAATAATAAACGCCGAGCGATAAAAGTCGATTCAACATTCACTGTTTGATTTACAACGTTGAATTGTTAGCAAGGCAAAAGGGTTCGTTTAAGAATTCGTTGCGCAACCTGAGTTCACCAAGGCTGATACGTTTGCCAACGCGATAATTAAGATATTCGAGCAAGTTTGCCAAGATGATAATTAAGGTATTCAATTAAACTCTATAAAGTTCTCAACTGTAATAACGTAGAAATATAGCGAGAAATGTAATATCTACGAAGTTTCGAATCGAATATAATACAAGTATCAAATGTGGTATTCCTATTAAAATCTGTAATTATTAAAAAAAATTACTACTTCGAATCTAATCATTTTTTTAACGAAATAATGTCAATTTTCTTTATTCCATATAACTTTAAAAATCTACCAAGAATAATAATGTGTATAACTATTCACACATCTATATACTATGTAATAACGTGTAAATGTTTATTATACAACGTATATCAGTATGGTAACATAACCTACAAACGACAGAAGAACGAGGAAACTGGAGAAAAATCCACGCGTTTCATTCGAACCTGGCGTCGGATGTATTTCCGGTTTGCAACTGGAGACTCTGGCGTGATTCATACGGCCGACGCTGGTCGGTGCAGATAGAAGGCAAGAAAATTTACATACAACATCCTAGAGACTTGGCAGACGTCGTTTTACCTCTGAAGACCCTTTTCTTCCCCCTTTTTCTCTCAACGTGGAAAAGATCGACTGAAACTCGAGATCTCTTCCCCTCGAACGTGGGTG